AACGGAAATCGGCGCTTTGATAATGCCGTACATGCGGCAGCAATGGGAGGCCATGTCCATATTGCGGAAGTCCTCCTGGAAGCCGGGGCCCATGTCAACATCGAAGGCAGTCACTTCACCTAACACAGCTCTTGAAGCCGCTGCATACTAGGTCCAAATCAAGGCATTCGCCTTCATTTACAGAGCGGCGTAGATGCGTGTCGTAGCGAACTTTCTAATGAGGCTTTTCATGCAGCAGCTGAAGGTATCGCGCAAGCGCTTATTGTGGCTGGCGGTACTATTGATGTCAGGCGAGACGAACAGCCACCTCTGCTAATTCAGGAGATATTTCGCTTGTGGATGCGCTGCCAGAACGAACCGAAAACTGGACATTGGATGGAAGCCGGAACGGAGACGCACGTTCAGAGTCGTTGGAATAAGCTATGCTAGCGTTTTCTTGAAAGGGTAGGCAGCACACTCCGTGCAGCTGGGTTGGTTGAGCGATATATTAAATGCTCATTCTGACAACGCCACCACCCGTCTAGACATGTGACGACTTCATCTAGCAGGCATAAACAGAATCCGCACGTGCTGTCACCTTCCGTACTCAGCTTAGCGCTACGTCTCCGCTGCAAAACAGGCCCCGGGGCCGTGTGATTGGTCAAGTTTCGTACTGATGAGGACTGATGCTGTCTGCATTGCTAGCTACTATTCTCGTGTGGTGTTGTTCGTGTACAGGAGCTCCCGGCTTAGAAGTACGTGCACTTGCACAGTAAAATATCATGTGATCTAGCCAACGCGGAACTATTCTGCATAAGTACGACGGGTTCCTCGTGATGTGAGTACACACTCTCTCCATCGACATCGAGTCATCACAGGTCGACCGGTTCTTTCAGTCTAGCACACTTGTCTAAGGAGCGAAGTTCGTACTGTACAGCAACACCTTATTCATCATGCGCTTCTTCGCCATTACCACCGCCGGAACGCTCCTGTTCCAAAGCAGCACCATCATGGCCGCCACGGTTGACCTTCAGGTAAGGCTTGCTTGAGCAATCGCGACTTTGCCCACAAAAGCGAATAGCTAACATATTTCGGTTTCCTCCAAGGCACGAGGCTGCTCCCGCTCTAACACCGGTACACACTGCATCTCCTCCGATCAGGGTACCCAAGACAACGCTCGCGCCGCACTGAAAGACCTCATGAGTCAATGCGGCAACGGCAACCTACCAGGGAACGCCAAACGCGTTTCCAGCAGCGCGTACAACGGTATTGTCGCCTACGCCTGTAATGGCTTCTGCCGCACTGGCTACATGCCCTGTCAGGACGCTGAGTGGAGCATCAACCGCGTCATCAACAACTGCAATTTTGGCAAGGGTATGGGATGGGACAGCCAGGAGACAAGGGGCACGTGGTATGGCATTGCGCATGATTGGGACAACCCGTGTGGCTATGGCTACACGGGTCGTGGTGCGACATACTAGTAGAGATGAGTCGTGGAAGACCGATATGTTCAGATCCATAGAAACCAGTAGTTGGATGACAGGGTTTTCCAGCCTCAATAGAAGCCTTGCGTCAATCAAGAAATTTGTGCACCACAAATGGCCAGCTCGCAAGATTGGGAATGATCGCGTGCAGATTGCGTACCAGTGAGACAAGTACATAGGGTCGTCCTGCAAGCACATTGCGGCTAATCTGGTTCATGTAGCTTGGGATTACGTGCACGTACTATGCTAAATCAAGACCACGCGGATATTGTGCGCTCGTTGCTAATTACAAAGTGATTTTAACATTCAATCGCTGCAAAAGTGTCTGACTTGAGGCGATTTCGTTCATTTGAAACTACCTTCTTCGTTTGTAAGAATATACGCTCACACTTAGAGCGTGCTAGAGCGTCTTAAAGAGGATATCAACTTGCCGCTAACGAAAGCTCAGTCGATAGTCCGAGAGGTCTGTTCTACATGTGGCTTGCGAAAAGACCGGCATATCTGCAGTGAAACTATCCTTGAAACATGGAATGTCTTCCTCTTCGAAGGACAAGGAAGTCAGGACATCGCATTGATTCGGTGTTGGGAAGCTCGCAAATCCACGGAAATTTGCGAAGCGTGTCCATGATCACGTCGGTCCTTCGTGCGATGGAACGATCGTCAATGTACTGCTTGGTGGCAGGCTCTCAGACACCGATCTCAGACGTCGGAAGATTGAACTACTCGTTATGGGAAGACGATGGGGAAGACGATCTTCTAAAAGACCACCTTGGAACTGATACCTTGAAAAGACAGCGGCAATACAACCCCTTTGCAGGAGATATTCGACTAACGTAAGCAGGAAATGTAGTTTCTCTACTTCCATACCATATGTCTTAAGCTAGATAGCTTTACTTTGTAGAGTGTTTATCTCTTCTAAGAAGAGAAATATATCCAATCTTGAAAATTAACTCAGTTAGACCTTGTGACTAGTAAAGTCAACGTGGCTCTTGGTGCTTCAACAGGTGCGGCTCGAAGTGTCTGTTCATGCATCCGCGAAGGATCTAGTGCCAGACCAAGTGGGCCAACGATAGACGGGGCGGCACGGACGGATGCCTGTCTCCGGAAACGTCATGCCGGCAAATGTAACATGCACGCAGGCGACAATCGTTTGGTGGGCGATGTTTTAACGGCATTGATCCAACACAGCGGGTGTGGGATTCGCGCTGTTGAACACTCCCGAGGTCCACTGGGTCGGACGAGCGAAAGACGGTAAAGAGGCTGAGGATATCAGGCCTTTGCATCACAACGCAACTGATCCAAGATCCGAACATCGCGGAGACGACTAACCGCTGAGCCATCGGGCGGGAAAACGAGTCATGTGTACTTCGGCGCATGGCGCAATAGGAAGGCAAGAGCCGCACCGAACGATGGCTATCGTGCGAAAGGATCGAAGGATTGCAATAGAAGGCTGCCCCGCGCTTCCTTCTCTATCCTTTGACAAACATTGCAGAACGAACACTCGTCGCCAGACATGTCAATACCTGTACCAGATATCCTCGAGCGTGTTGCGGCCGCCGGCAGAGCTTACGAAACCGAGCAAATCGGCTCGCGAGAAAGTCTCATCGAGCTTGGTCGCGACCTGGTTGCGGCACTCGAGATACCCAGTGAATTCCTGCAGAGAAGCTTCTGGGCCGAGGTTCGTGACTGAACCTGTACTGTTACCAGCATACTGATGAGTCTGCAGCCGGCATTGTCAGCGCACTGCAAGTTTGCTGTTGAAGTCAAACTCTTCCAGCATCTTAGAGATGCAGGCGATGCAGGAGTTAGTCCGGGCGACCTTGCTCAAAAGACGAGCGTTGACCCCATTCTATTGCAACGGATCATGCGTCACCTAATCGTAATGAAAGTCGTTTCCTTCTCGAACGGTAAATTCCTCGGTTCCCGTCTGAGCCACGAGCTTGCAGCGGACAACTATCAGAAGAGCATTGACTTCTGCTACGACGTGTCACGACCGTCGTTCAATGGTTTCCCGGAGTATTTTAAGAAGACTGGTTACAGGCTCCCCACGTCGCCTACAGAAGGACCATTGCAGGATGCGCATGGGACAGATTTGCCTTTTTTCCCATGGTTGGTCGCAACGCCTCCTCATCTCGATGAGTTCGACAACTTTATGTCGGTGTATCGCGCGGGTAAGGCGAATTGGTTCGACCCCGGCTTCTACCCGGTCGCAGAACGGTTGATTGATGGCTTTGATCCCAGCTGCAGCGAGGCCCTTCTGGTCGATATCGGCGGCGGTCGCGGTCACGACGTCCAGCAGTTCGTGACTCAGCACCATTCTCATCCGGGCAAGGTTGTTCTTCAGGATCAGGAGCCAGTCATCGCGGCTATCAAGGATAAGGAAAGGCTTCCTTTTGAGAGTCAGGTCCATGATTTCTATACGCCTCAGCCTATTCAGTCAGCCAGGGCGTACTCACTGCACTCCATTCTCCACGACTGGAATGACGAAGACGGCGTCAGGATTCTCGAAAGCCTGAAGCCAGCGCTGAAGCCCGGCTACTCGCGGGTGCTGCTGAACGAGATTGTGCTTTCGGAAGAGAAGCCTACCATCGCCGCCACCTCTATGGATATGATGATGTTAGCACATCTTTCGGTGCGCGAGAGAACAGAAGCGGAGTGGAAGGCGATAGTTGAAAAGGCTGGTCTGAATTTCTTAGCCATCTACAACTACCCCGGGGTTGCTGAGAGTGTTATTGAAGCGGAACTACGGGAATAAGGCGCGGAGCTGCAATGACAAAGGGAACGGGGTAATAGATGTCGTGTAATAAGGGAAGTAAAAATGAATAGAGTGCGCATTTGACGCAAACTGCGGCATGGTCCTCGGCGGGGCTGGTCATTGAGACTGGGAAGTGTAATGATGCGCAATGAGTATGTTGTGTGGCGATGAAGCGCGCAGCGCAGCCCGCTGCCGAAAGGAACTCGGAGCAGCTAGCGCCAACCGAACGTTTAAACATGGCCCAGGTGATTGGTCCGTCGCTCTCGTCCCTGCCACATGTGCGCGCCTCGATAACCAATAAGCACATTGATGTAGTACATTCGAATGGTTTGAAGTTCCGATTCGGTCTCTATTTTGGTCCCTCTATGGATGCGCACTCTCTACCCCGACCTTTGCGCACCAAATGTTACCCAGGTACAGAGCCCCTACCCTAACACCAGGCATCATCACACGCCTACTCGCAAAAATAGGCTCCATCACGGCCATGGTACATCAACCATCCGCCCATAGGCCCCCAGCAGTATATGGTACCGTCAGGCCGTTGAATGCCGTCCCCATACTGAGGGTCAACGGGAGGTGAACTCCAGACTGGAAACATGCCGTTGGTATGGGCGAACAGACGCTGATCATGCTGTACTGTCGCTAGGCGCAGCCGCTCTCCTATGCTGCTGAAGCTCCCGCTTACTGGACGCGGCCTCCGCATCTCATGAGTACGATGAGGCAGCGCGCGACCCATGCGTTCCGGTCTACTATCAGCGTTCCCGACAGCAGCGCGCTGCGTGTCATTTCGTCCAGTGCTTGTCATCACTGATTGTACAGCAGCGCGAGCCGTGTCAATGTCCATTTGATTGAGACGACGTAGTCCTCTCAGGCGGCGAATCATGGAGCGAGCTTGCGCAAGGCTATCGAACCGCTGCTCCGATAACCCATGGTCTTCGGTGCGAGATTGGTTGTTGAGAGCCGCGTAGATCTCGTCGAGTTGTACATCCAGTGCTGCAAGTTCTGCACTGTAGCCGTCGGTGGGCGAGGGCACTCGAGCATCGTGTGGAGGCAAAGCTCCATGGCTCAAAATCGCTTCGGCTGAGTTCGCACGAGAATGTCCGGGTGAGCGCATAATACTTCGAGGAGTCGGCGAGGACGGCTGTGGACTATAGGGACCAGGGATTGCAGGGTCTCGGGAAACACGATCTGTCCGAACCGTCTCTGCAAACCGCACGTTACGTGACGGTAATTTGACGCCATGCGCTTGTCCCATGGTCAAAGTGTTGAAGTCGTCCGCCAGACGATCGATTGTCTCGCCTCCAGATCGACGCGCGGGAATGCTGCGAGTAGCTGCACCCCTATTCCTGATGGTGTTCAGATTCTCCATGGTACCCTGTAAAGCTTCGACGAAACTGGGAACTTGGCGTCGCTGACTACTCAGTAGAGACGCAACATGTTCGCGGACTTGATCGCGCTCGCTCGGCAATAACTCTTCGTCTAGCCAGTCAGTCGGAATTGGGTGTACGGCATTGATGTTACGATCGCTGTTCAACGGGATGTAATCGGCATTAGCTGCCCTGCTGACAGCCGCTGCAGTACGATATTGCCCGTAAATGGTGTGGAGTGTGCGGGCCCTAGAAGCCATCTTATCGTTATCAGAGAGGCCGAGCTTGTAGACCTGCAAGTAGCCTGAGAAGAGAATCCGCTCTTGGGACTGGTGTGGAAGGTGGGGTTTGGATGAGTTGATGGCGAGCTGATAACACCGGCGTAACTCGTTCGCAGCTTGTAGATATCGCTCAAAGCTGTAATCTACACCAGAGTTGGAGTAGAAGTAGATTAATCGTCGATAGCTGTGAAGGAGGCGCGCCTTATATAGCTATGGCCGAACGCGGTCGCATAGCCATCAGCAGATCGAGCAACTTCACATCTTAGAGCTTTCACTTCTCCTCAGTGGCTGAAGGTAAAGGAAGTATCAGGGAACAAAGTACGGTTAGTGGAAAGATCAAACGTGTGTGAGCTGTCCAGTCTCTCGAGCCACCCGTTGCAGCCACCTTCACCGTGGTCGCGACCCATCGGTCCCGAGTTTTGTCGCCTTCGGCGATCTAACAGCAGAATCTGTCAGTCAACAACAGCCACTTCACAATCTCCTAAGAACATCGGCAGTATCTAAGCCTTTCTACGATGTCTGAGGTCCCTAGCTGCAGAAATATTAGTGATGTACTATGAAGAGTTTTATCAATTCGCTAGTTTGATTTGAAGTGCAGTTGAGAAAACCTGATACAAGACTGATGTGTTTTTCTCTACATATTCTGGCTGCCCGAGTAGTGTATGCTGTATGGAGATGGCTATTCCCAATCCTCCCAGGACCAACTACTTTCAAAATATCGTGCACACGTGTACTCATCCCAATCCAGGTACCGAGATGGCGGCAACCCCGTTACGGACGACGTTGGCTCCCCGTAAGCCTCAGGTGCACCTGCCTGCAGAAATTGGTCATACAAGCTAGGACCCATTTGGCGGCGTCCATTGTGCGCCTCAGCAACCCTGTGCGGAACAATCTGATCAAGAGCGTTTTTTTGCTGTCGCAACAGCTCTTTGGCGTCGGCAAGCTCAAGTTCAGAGATACGATGAATGGTTTGATTGAGCTCTTCTTCCGTTCGCGGTGGCTGCTGACGCTCAGTGTCTCGTGTTCCTCCACTACCTTTCGCTTGCGTAGGACCGTCCAGTCGTAATTGCTCTTGTTTGGCTGCATCTAGAACGCGTAATACTTCCTGATGCCTTGTCCGCGCGATTGCAAGTGTGGCAGCCCCGAATTTACGTATCTTCTCGTCGTCCAAGCCCGAAAAGCGCTCTCGCGCGACGTGGAGTTTGTCAAGGCATGCCCGTGCGCGATCTATGCTTTTGATGACGCCCGCTCGGTTACTGGATCGAGTGATGACCCTGTTCAAAGTCCTCATCGACTCAGAAAGACTATCGTCGATCTTTTGCAGTTCCTGCTTCAACGATACAACTTCGGAGGGAGAGGCGAACCGGGCCGGTACCAAGGATTCAGGCTCCGATGGGGCAATGGATGTACTCCGCTGTGTCGGGGAAGTACCAGTTGTCCGCGAAGAATCGATTGTCCGCGAAGAAATCGTTGTTGGCGATGAAACTGTTGATGCTTCATCCGCCGCCGCATCTGACGTCTCCCACAGATCATCAGCGAGCTCCAGAGCATCCACTACGAGCGCGCGGGAGTCAGACAAGGCGCCCTTGCACTTGCGTTCGAGAACGCGCACCTTCTCGACTGCACTGCGAGCTTTCCGAATGGCGCCGTATAGATCGCGCCGCGCAGCTGAGCTGGTGACGGTCAAAGCCAGCGACTCAAGACTGGCGAGGTGCTGTTCTTGAAGCGCCAGCTCGTGGCTCGCAGCGCTGTGCTCCACAACTATGACGCGTGTCTTCTCGTCGAGCTTTGCGTCCTTGAGGAAGTCGGTGTGCCTGCTAGGCTTGCGCATCTTGCTGGAGCTGGATGACTGCGATCCACTGCCACCCTCAGACTGTAAAACCGAGCTTGGCGTACTAACGGAGGGCGGAGGGTAACCAGGGGGTACGGTACTCTTCCATTTATCTATATTCCGGCTACGCTCAAGGGCGCCTGACCTTGAGCCGCTGACGACATCGGTGTCAGCCTCCACGTGCATGGAGGAATGTTTGCCCCGGGACTCCTGATGCTCTCTTGCCGTATGGTACGTCCGATTACTGGGCGCATCCGTCGTGGTTGAGTCCGAACTGGTTTTGGGAATGTGGTCCATCTCCTGTTGAACTGTCTTTAACGTGCCCAAAGTTCTTCTCACCGCTTCGACGAGTCCGCTGTCACGGTAATTGTTATTGGATAGCTGGGAAGTGATGTGCTTGTTAACCGCAGCGCGTTCCTGAGAGTGCAAGTCGCGAAGATACGCCTCTGGTATCGGATGGACCACGTTGAACGCCAGCTCAGTCTCTCTGACTGAGATGAACTCTCCGAATGGCGCATCTTCGACAGCAGCGTTGCTTTTGTAGCGGCCTCCGATTGTATGGACGGTTCTGGGAGCCATTGCAGTATCGTCTTTGATGGGATTAGGTGCTGATGTCGTGCACTGGATATTCGCCGATAACTGACAGTACAGGTATCAGGAGAAGCGCGCGCTGTAGAAGTGTGCTCGGTAGAGGTGTGGTATATGATTTTTTTGTATAGCTGCGGAGAGCGCACGTTTTTATACACATACAAAAGGGGTATCCAGGCCCCAGCAGTCCCCTAGTTCTTGTCATTGTTCTTGGCGCATGGTCAATTCTTCAGTGCGTCATTGGGAGAAGGAGACCCGCTACGATGAACGATGAGAAGCCGTGCGCACTGCTATAGCAATTCTCGTGTGCCTAGCAAGCGCGCACAGACCCGAAATTTGGTGTCCCTGTTACAATCGAGAATGAGATGAGACATATAGTTTGTCGAGTTTAACCATGATGACCTTCGAAAAGGCGGCCGAGCGGATGAGACCAGGCTCCATCCGGTTCCTCTGCGGTACCGATTCGATCACTCCAATAACCTCCTCTCTTAATACAGGTCTTATCCATAGTCAGGCGTGGCGTGAAGGCGCTTGAGGCCTTGACTGTATTTTCCATGTGCTCCCATTCATCATGATCGTCGAAACCGCCGTTCATGAAAAGCTCTTCTAAAGACTCTGGGAGAAGGGTCCTTACGTCGAAGTCGACATCAATTTGTTCGTAATCCTCCTTTCGGTAAAAGCCTTGTTCTAGCGGCTCCTCGTCTTCAGGGTCTTCCTCTTTTGCCATGTCGGGTCGAAGCATGCGCCACGAACAGTGGAGTACACGGAGCTTCTGGAAATGTCGGAGAGAAACAATCGCTGGGCCATCGTCGGGAGGCTCACTCTGTCAAATGAAATTAGTCTGGAACACTGACAGAGGTTAGTCACTTACATCCGTGTCCTCCTCGCTGAGCTTGAGCTCCTCCAACGAGCGGTCGGCGTGTGTAGCAACTGCTCGGATGAATTTTTTTGGTTCGTACCAGCTCGAATCGGACACCAGAGCATCACCACCGTTGTACGTTAGCTTCTTTAGATGCCGAATGTTCGCGAGTATGGTTGCTAGGCCATCCACATCGAAGACAGAATGTCTGAAGAATAGCTCTTCCACGTTAGAGCACGGAGCAGCACCTGTGGGGAATAAAGTGCGTAGGACGTCCTCGCTAGGCGAACCACCCATTGCTTGTCCTACAAACGTCTTTACCGAAGGGATACTGAGATAAAAACACGCCCAATCAGGAGAGCTGCTTCCTTCGTCCAGAGCGTAACGCACGGCGACCGTCTTGAGATGTTGTAGGGGAAGCTTTGGTGCCATGACCGGGTTCTTGTATCCTAACGCGATCTGCCATAGAACAAGTTCCAGACAGTCCTCCATGCCGACTTCTGAATGTCTGATGGTCGTGAGATAAGGTAGATGGTGCAGAAGGATCGCGATAATGGCGTCCTCGAAGCCTGCGTGAATTCGATCTTCGATAGATCCAATCGTGTCGTACGGGCGAGGTGAAAAGTTGAAGGCATGAGAGTATCGTCTCAGCAGATTCGATTCATCTACGCCAAACCCCGGGTACAGATCTTGCAGCCCCCTTGCTGCCTCAATGAACAAGGCCTTGTCTTCTTCGGATGGCACAAGGCCATGCTTTGGGTGGGAAACATGCAAACTCTCGTTCGCATTCCAATTGTATTGCCGGCTTTCTGGAAGGTTGAGTTCCCTGATGTACCACCCTAGTCGAGGGTTTGCTATTACGTCTCTCAAGGTCTCCCAAAGAAACGTACGAGCATCGGTCGTGTCGATGACCTTCCATTTCGCAAGTAGTCGTGCATGATGTCTCAACAAAGATTTGAATAGTGTCGCATGGTCTTTGCAGGTAAGGGCAAAATTGAGAGTCGAGTCCGGGTCCAAGCTGTCAGCTATGTTTAGCTTGAGCTCCGGTGGCAGCGTGATGAGAGCCATGCTGGTGTCGAGATGGGATGGCTCTCAACGGACACGCTGCACGCCATGCTTTATATCGCGACGAGCAGAGCTTCTGGGCGGATTGCTAGAGCTGTACAAGCCTAGCGCAAGGCTGCGACGAGATGCCGTGCTCCCTGGGGAGTGGTGGAACAGCGCCGTGGCATGCGTAGCCGGCCCGCCGTCCAGCGCGCATCGCTGCACTGGGGGCCTGACGCCTGCCTGGAGCCCTCGCGGCTTGACTGGACATCTCAGTTCACGCGCAGGGTTGCAAATCCTTTAAACATAGTGTCTTTCATTGAGCAGTGGCACAGACAGGGTGAACAAAGAAGATGCAAACGCGGTGGGGCAGAGCAGCCTGCACCTGGGCATCGCCCCGCGCGCGAAACTGACGCGTCTTGCGGCACGTGGCGCCAACTTCATCTCTACCTAGGCACCATTGCCACTCGCTGTACGAGTTTCGTGTCTAGACAATCCAACACGTTTCTATTCAACGTTCTACAAACGTAAGGTCCCTCGCAGGCATGCTACCCATCTATCTTCCGACACTCTGGCGCCTTCTCGTCGTCAACAGCGAATTTGGCAGCTAGACCAGCTGCTCCACCAACGTCAGGCTTTGCCTCATCGTCACACTCAGACCAGCAAGTCCACCTTGTCTGATCCACCTCGTCGTCGCCATATCCGTCTTCATCCTCCACATCGTCCGAAGCAGAAAGATGCAAGTCCAACACCACATCGTCTTCGCCAATGAGCACTATGAGTGCATCGGCCACGCTGATCATCTCGAGCATCTCTTCCCTCGCCGTTTCCGCCCCTTGTAAGAACTGGTTGGCAAACGCGGAGATTGGTCCTATACCGGGGTGAAGGCCTAGTATACCCTGATAGCGACTAGGTGGTCTGAGAGACGAGTCGTCCACCAAGGCATCATATTCAGCCTGAATACAGGTTGTGTATACCTTCAGGTTCAGGAGATCTGCTATAGAAGAGGACATTCGCGATGTGTCAATCCACTCTAAGCCAAGTGGAGCAGCATGTCTACCAGGTTGGTAACTGTGGCGCTGCGCCAGGTTGCGACAAAACCAGGCGTTGCTGCGGGTGGGCCAGGTAATGATGTCAGGTGTGAAAGTGACGTGTTTCTTCACTCGAGCCTTAGCGACTTTCGCTCTCGCAACATCGAACGACGACAGCTTTCGCTTTACTGCAAGCCTGGGAATGGCGTCCGTCAGCACAGCTGGGTATTTCGTTCGCATCTGGGCATTACGTATCGCTTTCGAGGAGCTGTTGGTCGTCCACATACACCCTACGTCGTTTGGATGTCCTTTCTCCCAAGCTTCCTCGTACTTTTGCTAGCATTCCAGAAGCTCCACAAGCTCGACCAACTGATAGCGCGCCAGGTGCCAACACTGTCTGACTAGGACGAACTCATTGCGAACGCGCGCTTGCTGCCAAGGGCCACCGCATCTCTGGAATACCTGTGCAAGCGCATCAAGGAATTCGAGACACATTTCCACTTCGCAGACTGGGCAATATTCGCCGGTGATGATGTCCGAAGGATGCAACCCATGCCCGCACATGGTCGCAGGGTTTCTATTCCGCGTCCGTGTGTTGCCGCGCTTGAGCTTTTTGTTGTCTTCGTCAGTGCGTCGATATGCAAGAAACTCGCAGTACTCTGTGGCATTTCGAACAATACCCGGCAGCGAGCCTACTCCGTGCTCTTTCTGCCACTTAGTGAAGTGCTGTAAGTCTTCAGGCGAGAAGAGAATGGCTGCGGGAACGTACTCGGCTATGGAAGAGTGCATGATGTGGAAGGTTGCTTTGATGTGAATGAGTGAGTATTAGAGGATCGTAAGACATTGCCAGAAAGCCCGTGCTTGTTCCCGAGTTTGTTTCGGTGGACTACTCTGGAAGTGAATGCGCGATAGCGAATGGCAAGTGGAAGATCTACTGAGAACAGGGTGTTTACACAGTGCGCAGTCATGGGTGTTTGGGTCATTGCGATGAATCATTCAAGAAGAGTCAGGGCACTAACAATGCATTGTAGGATGAATGCATCAGCTTCAGTTGAGAGCGCTACATCTACGTCATATTCAATTGGTCGTTGCTGAGATCAATGCGCGTCACATCGTAACCATCCACATATCCTCTCGTTACAGTTGGCTCAGCAAAACCTCCTAGAGCCTAGGTATTGTTTGTAACGGTTCTGGCGTTCAATCCCTCGTGTCTGAGATTCCAACACCCTCGCCATCTTCCTACTTACGCCCATTACTTTCCGTCCTAGTCGCACCTCCAGCACATTCGTATGTACTCCAGATCTCATCACGACATTCCTCCGGCATGACTTCTAGATGTGACGTCCAGCCTTTATTCTCCATCACGCGAACCTCTTCCGCACCATCTCCCGGACGATTCTCAATATCTCTTGTTGTATACGGGATAACATGCGTGACCTGATCTTTCTCATCAGTCTTCACGAGTAAGTAATCCGCCGTCTTCAGACTTTTCATAAACGTGTCGTTCGGCACCTCGTCTTTTCCATCGTGTATACGCGATATCTTATCCCCGATCTCGGGCCACCGAGGATGCAGTTCTGCAATACCCTCATGATTGGACAAAGCGATGGCGTCGACCAGCTCGATGTTCCAAGGGCAGTCGAACTCCCTGATGACCTTGAGCTGTCGAATGTTGTAGCGGTTGATGAGCATGTTCGAAGTATTGACTAGGGTGCTCGACGAGGGTGCTGCGTGTTTTCCCGGTACGTATGCCTTCGTGCTGCGGTGGAAACTTGCACGGGGTCGACTGATTTTGAAGTTCGTGTCGGACGCGAATTGGACGCGCTTTGTCTTTGGAGCTTCTGTTTTCGGTAAAGAGGTTTGACAGTTTGGAGTCGCTCCAGGCAACATTGTTGGAGTGCCGGTGCGGCAGTCTGGACCTGCGCTGTTGCCAGTCCTTACACTGGCGGGATACCTCGACATGGCACGCGCAATGACCACGGCATTGCCTGCTGAGCATGTCTTCCGAGCCGCTTCAACTCCTTCCGGGTGCTCTTGTTCCCAACGCTTTTCTTTCTCTGCATCGTCTTCATAGCGCATCACAAGCTGTGCAAGCTCAAGTCTTCTTTTGTGCCAGATGTGGCAGTAAGCGTCTCGATTCTCAGTACTTTGACCTGTTAGTGGCCTCCAAGGGCCCCCCCTTTACCATCCCAATCTTTAGTGATGCGCCGAAGTAGATTCAGATAAGCTACGACTCTGCATACTGGGCAGTATTCGTCATCGTCGGCTGTGCTGGAGTGAAGGACATGACCGCATCTAGTCCCGACGCGACGACCATTGCCATCGAGGTTCCTAAATTTTCCGGGGGTATCGTTAAACTTAAGACGTGGATGGCTTTCCGCGGCGGAGGGTTGTACTTCATTGAGGGGATGGCGGGTATAATCATCTTGAGTAGGGGAGGCGGACTGCGTTACTTGAAGTTTGTCTTGAAGTAAGCCTGCCAACAACATGGCATTTACTGCCGGCGTTCCAGCTGACATTGTTGGTCACTGTGGTAATTGAGTTTGTGTCAACTAACAGTGTATGTGATTCTGGAGTGGTTGTACTTGAAATGTGTTCAGGAACACAAAGTGATCTTTCAGTTGGGGTCGCGCAACAAAGTTCGAGTGAGCCCTGTCGTTCACTATGTTTTTTGCCATCGGTATGTAGCCAACGCAACTGAGGCGACATGAGCTCAAACTTGAATGAGTTGCAGCGCTGAAGCTACATGCCATTGTTGCCACATCCACTGAGTGCATCACTGGCTTCACACTCATGACTCTAGTTTTTTCACTGTCACATTGTATATCCCTCACAGACCAAATACTTACTGCGCATCCTCATCTAACCCGCACATCTCAACAAAACAATCATCCCTCCACTTCATCAACCTAGCCATCTTCGGCAAGCCGACATTATTCTTAGGCACAGTCCGCTGCAACTCAAGTATCCACTCATGAGCTTCTTGGTCCTCCTTCGCATCATTAACAAACTGAAAGGTCACAGACTTATCCCTCCGATCCTGATAAAGAACCATCCCTTTCGCCCTCGTCCAGTCGTCTCCAGTAAGGCTAGAAAAAGCGACACCACCTTCAGTCAGGTCCTTGTAGATCTTGAAAACTTCAAAACCAAGCGGATGGTCTCTTAGAAGTGTTTCGGAGCCGGGAAGCAGCGGCAGACCTGCTCGCATTTGCGCGTGGAAGGAATTGTGTAGGACGTCGATTTCGTCTGCGTTGCGGACGTGGAAGATGGCGTGGACTTTGAAGTTGAGAAGCTGTTCCAGTTCGTTGCTCATTAAACTGGTGTCCAGCCAGGCTCCGACATCTGGTGGGCAACTGTACTTCCCCGCTGAGTACGTGGCGCTTGAGCGCTTCCACTGATGTGTAGCCCGGCCAGGCTCAAAGTTGGTCTCAGGGCTGAAGCTTACGGATTTCTTTCGGCGATGCGGCTTGGACGTGGACTGGCTTTTTGCAAACATGGTATTGAGGTCAGGCATACCAAGGTATGCACGACAGGCGCTGAAGAGAATGAGAGATTATTTCACCTAGTTCATGAAAAGTGGGCGGCAATATATCACTTCTCGTGACTTCAATGCATGTGACATTGTGTATGTGAATGTACAACAAAGGTCAAAGCAATCTAACAGTGTTCTCCAGCGCAGGATGATGATGGGAAGCTCAAGATAGCAATACTCGACGAAGCACATGTCGACTCAATAGGCATCCAAGGGTTGTACCACTCCTCGTTCCGCGTCTCTCAAAATCTAGGTAAGTGTCGCAAGTGCTGACCATAAGCCAAATACATAACTCCAGCGCCTTGTATGCTCTTTCCTCCTCACCAGGCGTATCCTACAAAGCATGTCCTGCATCACTGCATCACTAGATTCCATCCCCAGGAGGTTGACCTGTTGCTCTACACGGCAGCATAGCCTCCTCTGCTTCCGCCTCCCTGCACAGTCCCCATGACCTTCCTCGCGAAATCTTTCGTAATGTACGGGATGTCGCGGATCGTGTCTCCATGGGGCAAAAGGTCCCATCCGCGCGCTCCGTACCTGTTATAGTTGAGCCACGAGCCGAAGATGAGGTAGGCAGCGATTGCGAGGAAGAGACTAGATAGTTGTTAGAACACTGTGAGAATGTATAAATGAGGTCATGCAACTCACATGATGAAGAACCAGCCAAAGAAGCCCCAGTGGGAGCCACCGTCCGGCGACGGCGCATCTGCACAGGCGTACTTGGTTCGCCATTGCAGTCGCAATGTCTGAACTTTCTTGTCTTTCTCTTCCGTCTCCATGTCGTAGCCACAGAAGCGCAGACTGTTGTCGTTGTCCTCACACTTGCTCTTGCCGCTCTCTTCTCTCCTCCTCAGCTTTTCTTCTTTCTTGTCATCGCCCTCCTTCTTGTCATCCCCTTTGTCGCCTCCGTCATCTTCCTTATCGTCATCCTGGTGCGGGCTCTTGTCCATCTCGTCACCCTCCAGTCCTGTCCTCTCCTTGTCGCAGACGAATTCGATGATCGCACGCTGGTTAATGCCTTCCTTTTTGTCGTTGAACGGGAATCTGCCTCCGTTCAGCGTTGCCCTCACCCCCTCTAATCCTGCATCGTTGTTGCTCTTGGAGTGGCCTAAGTTCTCAAACTTGGCATCGATGCTCCTCCCGTTCTGCGTCGCATATGTTCCGGCGATTTCGATGGGCGTGATAGTGGAGTTGTCGTCACTGCTCAAATCGATATTCTCTCTGATTCCACACACCCTAGACCCGTGATGGCACTCGGTTGCCAGACTACCGCCTTTGTGCCATTTGAGGTTGCTGCAGATGTCGATGGTAAAGTTGTACTTCCACTCGAGTTCTTTGGCGATATCAGACTCCTTGTAATGGACTACGTGCGGGCCGCCAAGCTCTTTGAAGTTGAAGTGCTGGCCATCTGCGAGGATGTCTTTGCAGTCAAAGGCATAGGTTGTGTAGGGAAGGAGGGATGTGAGGGCGAGAATTGAGAGCAGTGGCGCTCGGGACCGCGATGGTGCCATGGTGGCGCTGGTAGGTGATGCGAGTGTCGTGGTTGATGGAAGGACGACGGCGGAGCTTCGGGGACGGATACGCCGTTACGGAGATGATGAGGATCAGGGAGGCAGCCGTGGGCGGTTGTGCGACTGTCGCGACGTCGAGCGGGAAGGCACGAGGCGTTCGGTGGATGGATAACACGTGAAACAGATCACTTGATCAGGGCAGCAATGTCGCGATGTCGCGTGAACCGACTCGGAGAGGAAAGATGGCGCGAATGACGCTGCACGACTCAAACGGCCGCTGCTTAGTCAGATCGGCGCATCAATCTCCGCCCACCAGATCGTCCATGATCAACCCTCACCTTCCCAGCCTCCCAGCACCTTTCAGTGAACGATATCATCATAAGAGCTCGTGCGCCAAGGCAATCATGCGAATGCTGGGCTGCCGGGCATCTCTACTCCTTCAGCTCGGGGATGAGACGCCGGACTTATCACCGCCTCACATTCGGCAATGGAGGTACCTTCTGCAGCGCGGTATTGGCTCTTCATGCAATCCACATCGCTTAGCTCTCGACTGTCATTTTCGATAGCCAGGTCGTATGTACAGCACGGGTGGCTGTCAGTATCGTATCTTTCAACTCCACGGAGCCGCCTTTTGGATACGGGCTGCAATACCTGGGCAGACCTAAAAATAGAACGTCACGAGAAATAGCTTGGAAGTATCTTGTACATTTTTCGAGCTAACAGCTATCTAGTGTCTAGTCTACAGATCTATCCCCACACACCGTAACTCCAGAGGATGCAAGAATAGATATCGTGAGGATTCAGAACGGGTTTTACGAGAGTGGCCGAAGTACCTGCCCTGGAGTTCTCTCGTATCGAGCCGCGCCCATACAATCGATAGCCAACGCGCTAGTACAAACGCCAACGGCCCGAATGTAAAGGATGTGTGAAGTCGATCGGATCGCGAAGTGACAGTTACAGTGCAGGAGAAACCAAACGCCACCCATGCGAGCTGGTCTAAACGAGAGGAGCTTTGACCAAGCCGTATGAACCCACTCCAAAGCGACAGTGAGATGCGGAAAATGAGTGAAAGAAGAGGAAAATTGGCAAACAGCAGATAGAACCACAATGTCGAGCGAGAAATGAGTGTAGGATGCGCCATAGAAAGACCGACATAGAGAATCTAAAGAAGAAGAGGGTATTCCCGACGCCGAAAGTGCGATGTCTTCATGCCATGCAATACCGGGGCGAGACTAGAAATCTTGAGACATTGGAAGAAGATTGGCACACAGTGAGCCATTGATGTGCAAAAGGGGATTCGTGTCCGTCAGACCGCTGAAGCCAAGAGATGTCGTGCATGCGATACAGTAGTGTAGCAAGGGCGAAGACATCTATTTGCCTTGGCCCGAACCTCTAGGGTTGGCAGGCATCGGATACGGGAATGGAGCATACGGGAGCTGCCCAGATCCGGAGTTGCTACCGGCAGTCGAGGTACCTGATGGGGAGGATCCAGAGGAAGACATGGCGGTATTGGCTGTGGTAGTTCTGGTTTCAAATGGCTCTGACTGAGATCGTCGTGGACGTTCGTGAAGGCTAGAAGAGGCTTGAGGTCTTGGTGGCTGTGGACTCGAGGTATATCCTGAGTGATAGCGTAAAGCTAAGGGACGACTTTTTCGAGCACTGGTATCTGGAGTTGGCGTGCGTGAGGTGGGTGATCCTGTGATGACGATCGTAGGCGTTGAGAAAGATTGTTCAGTCGTGGATTGAGGAGTTTCCGTCGAGTCTTGGTTTGACGTAGAAGAGATGGTTGTCTGAGTTGCTTCTGTGGTAGTACAGGTACTGATAGACTTTGGGGAATTTGATGGACT